TCTCCATATGTCTGCTCACACACGAATCATACCTTTAGCTCTCCATCTGTCTGCTCACACATGGATCATACCTATAGCTCTCCATCTGTCTGCTCACACATGGATCATACCTTTAGCTCTCCATCTGTCAGCTCACACATGGATCATACCTATAGCTCTCCATCTGTCTGCTCACACATGGATCATACCTATAGCTCTCCATCTGTCTGCTCACACATGGATCATACCTTTAGCTCTCCATCTGTCAGCTCACACATGGATCATACCTTTAGCTCTCCATCTGTCTGCTCACACATGAATCATACCTTTAGCTCTCCATATGTCTGCTCACACATGGATCATACCTATAGCTCTCCATCTGTCTGCTCACACATGGATCATACCTATAGCTCTCCATCTGTCTGCTCACACATGGATCATACCTTTAGCTATCCATCTGTCAGCTCACACATGGATCATACCTTTAGCTATCCATCTGTCTGCTCACACATGGATCATACCTTTAGCTCTCCATCTGTCAGCTCACACATGGATCATACCTTTAGCTATCCATCTATCAGCACACACATGGATCATACCTTTAGCTCTCCATCTGTCAGCTCACACATGAATCATACCTATAGCTCTCCATCTGTCTGCTCACACATGGATCATACCTATAGCTCTCCATCTGTCTGCTCACACATGGATCATACCTATAGCTCTCCATCTGTCTGCTCAAACATGGATCATACCTTTAGCTCTCCATCTGTCTGCTCACACATGGATCATACCTTTAGCTCTCCATCTGTCAGCTCACACATGGATCATACCTTTAGCTCTCCATCTGTCAGCTCACACATGGATCATACCTTTAGCTCTCCATCTGTCTGCTCACACATGAATCTTACCTATAGCTCTCCATATGTCTGCTCACACACGAATCAACCCTTTAGCTCTCCATCTGTCTGCTCACACATGGATCATACCTATAGCTCTCCATCTGTCTGCTCACACATGGATCATACCTATAGCTCTCCATCTGTCTGCTAACACATGGATCATACGTATAGCTCTCCATCTGTCTGCTCACACATGGATCATACCTTTAGCTCTCCATCTGTCAGCTCACACATGGATCATACCTTTAGCTATCCATCTGTCAGCTCACACATGGATCATACCTTTAGCTCTCCATCTGTCTGCTCACACATGGATCATACCTTTAGCTCTCCATCTGTCAGCTCACACATGGATCATACCTTCATCTATCCATCTGTCAGCTCACACATGGATCATACCTATAGCTCTCCATCTGTCAGCTCACACATGGATCATACCTTTAGCTCTCCATCTGTCAGCTCACACATGGATCATACCTTTAGCTCTCCATCTGTCAGCTCACACATGGATCATACCTATAGCTCTCCATCTGTCTGCTCACACATGAATCTTACCTATAGCTCACACATGGATCATAGCCTGTCTGCTCACCACAGCTCGATCACATGGATCATACTTCTTTAGCTCTCCATCTGTCTGCTCACACATGGATCATACCTATAGCTCTCCATCTGTCTGCTCACATGGATCATACTATAGCTCTCCATCTGTCTGCTCACACATGGATCATACCTATAGCTCTCCATCTGTCTGCTCACACATGGATCATACCTTTAGCTCTCCATCTGTCTGCTCACACATGGATCATACCTTTAGCTATCCATCTGTCAGCTCACACATGGATCATACCTTTAGCTATCCATCTGTCTGCTCACACATGGATCATACCTTTAGCTCTCCATCTGTCTGCTCACACATGGATCATACCTATAGCTATCCATCTGTCTGCTCACACATGGATCATACCTATAGCTCTCCATCTGTCAGCTCACACATGGATCATACCTATAGCTCTCCATCTGTCAGCTCACACATGGATCATACCTTTAGCTCTCCATCTGTCAGCTCACACATGGATCATACCTATAGCTCTCCATCTGTCTGCTCACACATGAATCTTACCTATAGCTCTCCATCTGTCTGCTCACACATGAATCATACCTATAGCTCTCCATCTGTCAGCTCACACATGGATCATACCTTTAGCTCTCCATCTGTCAGCTCACACATGGATCATACCTTTAGCTATCCATCTGTCAGCTCACACATGGATCATACCTTTAGCTATCCATCTGTCTGCTCACACATGGATCATACCTATAGCTCTCCATCTGTCTGCTCACACATGGATCATACCTATAGCTCTCCATATGTCTGCTCACACATGGATCATACCTTTAGCTCTCCATCTGTCTGCTCACACATGAATCATACCTATAGCTCTCCATATGTTTGCTCACACATGGATCATACCTTTAGCTCTCCATCTGTCTGCTCACACATGGATCATACCTATAGCTCTCCATCTGTCTGCTCACACATGGATCATACCTATAGCTCTCCATCTGTCTGCTCACACATGGATCATACCTATAGCTCTCCATCTGTCTGCTCACACATGGATCATACCTTTAGCTCTCCATCTGTCTGCTCACATGGATCATACCTTTAGCTCTCCATCTGTCAGCTCACACATGGATCATACCTTTAGCTCTCCATCTGTCTGCTCACACATGGATCATACCTTTAGCTATCCATCTGTCTGCTCACACATGGATCATACTTTTAGCTCTCCATCTGTCAGCTCACACATGGATCATACCTTTAGCTCTCCATCTGTCTGCTCACACATGGATCATACCTATAGCTCTCCATCTGTCAGCTCACACATGGATCATACCTTTAGCTCTCCATCTGTCAGCTCACACATGGATCATACCTTTAGCTCTCCATCTGTCAGCTCACACATGGATCATACCTATAGCTCTCCATCTGTCTGCTCACACATGGATCATACCTTTAGCTCTCCATCTGTCTGCTCACACATGAATCATACCTATAGCTCTCCATCTGTCAGCTCACACATGGATCATACCTTTAGCTCTCCATCTGTCTGCTCACACATGGATCATACCTTTAGCTCTCCATCTGTCAGCTCACACATGGATCATACCTATAGCTCTCCATCTGTCTGCTCACACATGAATCTTACCTATAGCTCTCCATATGTCTGCTCACACATGAATCATACCTATAGCTCTCCATCTGTCTGCTCACACATGAATCTTACCTATAGCTCTCCATATGTTTGCTCACACACGAATCATACCTTTAGCTCTCCATCTGTCTGCTCACACATGGATCATACCTATAGCTCTCCATCTGTCTGCTCACACATGGATCTTACCTATAGCTCTCCATCTGTCTGCTCACACATGGATCATACCTATAGCTCTCCATCTGTCTGCTCACACATGGATCATACCTATAGCTATCCATCTGTCTGCTCACACATGGATCATACCTATAGCTCTCCATCTGTCAGCTCACACATGGATCATACCTTTAGCTCTCCATCTGTCAGCTCACACATGGATCATACCTATAGCTATCCATCTGTCTGCTCACACATGGATCATACCTATAGCTCTCCATCTGTCAGCTCACACATGGATCATACCTTTAGCTCTCCATCTGTCTGCTCACACATGGATCATACCTTTAGCTCTCCATCTGTCAGCTCACATGGATCATACCTATAGCTCTCCATCTGTCAGCTCACATGGATCATACCTATAGCTCTCCATCTGTCAGCTCACACATGGATCATACCTTTAGCTCTCCATCTGTCTGCTCACACATGAATCTTACCTATAGCTCTCCATCTGTCTGCTCACACATGGATCATACCTATAGCTCTCCATCTGTCAGCTCACACATGGATCATACCTATAGCTCTCCATCTGTCTGCTCACACATGGATCATACCTTTAGCTCTCCATCTGTCTGCTTCACACATGGATCATACCTATAGCTCTCCATCTGTCAGCTCACACATGGATCATACCTATAGCTCTCCATCTGTCAGCTCACACATGGATCATACCTTAGCTCTCCATCTGTCAGCTCACACATGGATCATACCTTTAGCTCTCCATCTGTCTGCTCACACATGGATCATACCTATAGCTCTCCATCTGTCTGCTTACACACGAATCATACCTATAGCTCTCCATCGTTCAGCTCACACATGGATCATACCTATAGTGAAAGTTTCTATTGTCTTTATTAGTACACGGACGTATTTTTCTTTTACGTGTGTTTGTGGTTTTTGAGTACCCATTAAACACTTTAACTATTCTTATCGTTGTGTTTTTTCTCACTTTAGTTGGCGTTTGAAAATACCTTAACGCCCGTGGTTCAGACAGTGTCATTACACTCTTTGTAGAACCTGGGTTTATTGTAACGTTAGACGGGATGCCGGGTGTTTACACACCTTCTACTCAAGTTGCAGCGTTACGCTAGTTCAGAGTGAAGTCGGTGTACTTCCAGCCGGGGACAGTCACATACATTTCATTGTCACATACTCAAAGCCTTATTTTAGAAAGACTATTGTGAAGCTGAATGATCCATAGATCAAACCCTTTATCTACCAAATACATCTTCATGCAAAATAAGTTTATGATTTGACAAATGACAATGGGACATCATTTGGACCTCCTTATTGGGTTTCAATGATGGATCATAACATTCGCCTGTACCCTTTGAATGGGCAGTTTGTAGTTCATGTGAATAAACTCGTACTCCAGCCCAGGTCGAGCACACCTTGGTATAGTGCAAAGTCGTCTGGTTATATGCTGGACTAGGGCAGTTTGGAGGCAGAAGGTTGGAATTTCTATTTACAAGGACATTTTAACTGCTGACTACACATTTTGGCCAATCAAGGAATTACATAGGAGCTCCAGTATCGAAGACACGCCGGTCATATTTTATGCGCGTTTCGTTGCCGTTCTCGAGCTTGAAAGGGAGAGCACTCTGATCTCTCGCAATGACCCTCGTGAAAACACTGTCACTCTGTAGCCGGGTAGTTTCGACATTGCAAAGTTGCAGGTACGTGGACCAGGCTGTCCCTCTACTCATTGTATGGATTCACGACAGGTGATCATTCCTACTCGCGGGAGCCCGCGAGAGTGTTGCTCAAGCTGAAATAGCTGGTATTACTTTTTTGTGAGCCTCGGTTTTCGCGCACTCCTCTCTGTCTCTTATTGCAGAGACAATATATGGTCTCTTCTTATTGTTACCAGTTATTTAACCGTGGCACCCTACAGACTTCGACCATTCGCTCTTAGTTTTAGACTTGTTAGTCCACGCGTATTACATGGGCTACATAGTATTTTCGATTTCACTTCTCAGTTGAAAGGGTTCCCGATCGTTGTGTTTCTAAGAACCTTTACAATAACCGGTTATTGCGACACTTTAGCCATCCTGACATTTTCAACGGCCCAGCTACATACAGTGATAAGTATCTGGTCGTCCCAGATCCACTACCCAAGAACCGCCGGATCCAGTCATTTCCCCACCTACCCAGATCCACTACACAGGAGCCCTAATAGGTACAAGGTGCACCAGGGTGCCCTTGTACTTAACAACCTTACTGCTAAGGCTATCATATTTCTATGTGAAGGAATGGAAGTTACGATGGTGGACAGTCAAAACCGACCGAAGCCCCATAGACTAAAGCCACTTGGGCAAAAGCCCCATAGCAAAAAAAACAAATGAGACAAAAGCCCCACATTATGTTTTCTCATGGTGGTGTGAGTAGCAAGTAGGTCTTGAGAAGGGTAATCAAGAAACTGGGTTTGAATAACAATATATTGATTGGTCTTATCTCAGGAGCTTGGAAGAAAAGGGAATAACATACTTGAGAAATATAGTAAATGTGGATGGTAATAAACTCTGTTTGGAAGAACTGAATTAAATTTATGATATACTAGTAGATGTTGATATTCTTAAATACCGACGACTTAAAACAACAATCGCTGGGTATACATTTCACTTACATGTGGAGAACATACTTGCCTACCCTATTTGACCTTATAATAACATCTCCAAAATAGTTAGTAGCAAACAGTTCTATAAAACACTATGTCAATTTTGTTTTAATAAAACAAATGGCCAATAAAAATGGGAAGAAACATTGGATAAGACTTCCAACACAAGGAATGGGAAACATTAATTTATCGATGTACTCAAGGCCTCAATCTAATATGGTGTCAGTAAAAGATTACTCAGAATATTTTGACAACTTATAATCACTTGTATATGGTTGGTTACATTGATTCACCTATGTGTTTGTTTTGTAAACAGGTGCCTGAGAGTCTTATACATTTATTATACGATTGTACCCATTCAAGCAAAGTGTGGATGGCTAAATGGTTAGAAAGATTGGCTGAAGGATATATAGAATTAACACCAGAAATTATTATTTTTAGTTTTAAGGGGTGAAATAATAATCCACTTAATGCCATTTGTCTCACGGTGAAACAAAATATTTGCAATATGTGCAGAAAGGGAGAAAACCTAAGTTTAAAAGCATCCAAAAAGAAATATTAAGTTACTATCAAACCTTTACAAACAACAATCAGTCCAATTTTTTTACATTTTGGTCCTCTTGCCACGCGCTATTTTTAGACTTGTAGCTCAATATTTAATTGTAAACCTTAAAGGGTACACTTTCATGTAATAATGATTTATGCCTTGCAGGTGATTAGAAACAGTCAAACATGCAGTAAGCGTTTTCATTCACTGTACTATGTAAACTTATGTACATGTAAACATCTGTTGAGAAATAATGGGTAATGTTAAGTGAAGCACCTGGGATGGCGTGGTCAGACTAGGGTGTCATACAGGACCCCATTTCACAAAGCAATCATAGTGCTAAGGTTAGTCTGTCTCACAGTCCCTGAACCATATTATTTTCCCTACAGCCTAGCCCTCCCTGTACTGCTAAAACCCTAGATGAAGCAAGTCTAGGTTTCCCCAGGTGCTGAATCTCAGGTCTCCCTGGGGCTCCTTTTCAATTTAAATGGGTTTATTTGTTACAGCCAAATTATATACATTTTCAGAGACGAAGTGTTAATCTACGCTAAGGTGATCATAACTCCCATACTTTAACACAAACGTATGACAGTTGTAGCGCCAGATCACTTTGTGAAACAAACCCACCCCAAGGTTGCAGCAACCAGTTGTGTGAGAATCCGTTGGATGTGACCCGCAACCTTCAGATTGACAGCTAACTGACTGAGCAACGTCCACTCTGTTACACCACATAATTTATCTAGTCATTCAACAGAAAACATTTAATATGTCAGGAACAGTTACGTAGGTTATTGGTAAGCTTGGTGTCTCATGTTTATACTCTATGGAATGATCTCGGTGCCATTATCGACAAGATACCAAGTGGTGTGGAATGAGATGATTTGGTGCGAACTTAAAACGGCTGTTGATGTCAGGTGTCAGTTCATGGTATGTATGAATCACATGCTTTTTAATAAACCATCAGGTGACATAGAGTGTTGTAGGGAACATTGTAAGGATAGTGTGGACTGCACATGTTTGGGGAGGGTAGGCTGGGGTATATCATTTATTCTGTCATTCATTCACATATGCATTTCTATATTTGAAATATAAGTGGTACTTGCTATACTATGTGCTGCTATCTATCTTTAGCGCACAATCTCCCTACAGGGCTTGGCTTACTCAATGACAATGCATATAGAAACGACTGAACACTGAGAGGAGCTTAGCACACTGGATAACCCAGCTACAGTCTGACATCACCAAGCATTGCTCTAACAATTTTAAGGGTACCTGAAGGTAATGTGAGGGTCCAGTACAGTACTGAAACGGGGAAGTCTACTGTACATTCAGATAATTACTTCAGAACCTTGATTATATCAGTGGACAGTGGTCATAACTGTTGGGTCAAACAACGGCACACATTCTCTACATTCATGTGGACTGGACACTCACTTATGCATTGTGTAAAACCCTGGTGTGATTATGTCCGGACTACTCATGATAATTGCTAGCAACTATCGTTAATCTCACTCAGTTATAACTGGCTACATGTCCACTGTTTAGCAATAGAACACTGACAATGATGTTGACATCATTGAGAAGAGTTACGTCCCTTTCTGGTGACAACATGTTTTCCATCGAGGGAAGTTTTTTTCTATAAAATATGTATTAAGAGAGCTTCCCAGGGATCTATCGTTGGACGGTGAAGTGATATATGGTATAGTTTACACATTTGGAGGACGAAATGGTTTCGATTGATGTTTATCGAGCCAGAATCGGCAGTTTCACTCATCCGAAGGGAACACGACAAGTGACGTTGCACAAACAAGAGAGTGAGTACTCAACATTCGTGTCAGGGACAGATGTCCACTTCAGGCTGATAATTTGTACATTTCTCATCGCTGTGCATCTTGCCTCATCATATCTCTTGATAGATACACTTGAAAATGTCAATTTTGAACGATTTGTGCCGAAAGAAAACATTTACCTGTGTACATCATGTGACGTCACTACTGTCAACTGTGACCCAGTTTTGGCTATGTACCATGCTTCATTTTTGCGTCGGTTGTGCTTTCTTGGTGGTAGCGTGCGCCCGTGGGTGTTGTGAAACATATTCTGATGTGTGCAAATGACATTGAAACCAACCCCGGCCCTCTTACTTTGAAAGAAGTGAGAGATTGCTTAATAGCTGAAATACATGACGTCAAATCAGATTTATCATCACAGATCACCGCCTTGAAAACTGAGATGATATCAATCGGATCGAGATGTGATCAACTAGAGAAGTCAGTGTCAGATATCAAATCAGATATCGCCGCCTCCAAGCATGAGTATGGCATCATGTATTCTGATCTTGACGCCATAGATGAAAGGGTAAATGGATTAGATGAACGTTTGACCATAATAGACGCTGAGCTAGATAAGCTTGGAATCTTTTAGCCGTCGAGACAACGTCATCATATATGGTGTACCGGAAGCCGAAGGGGAGAAATCGATGGCATGCAAGGAAACTATTCTCAACCTATTCACAAAGTACCTAACGTTTAAAGCGTGGCAACCAATTGACGTTATTAGAGCCCATCGCCAGGCGTTAAGCGTGCCGATTCAACTAAGCCCGCCCGATAATTGTCAAGGTACAAATGTCAGATGACAAAGTTAGAGCACTGAAAGCAAGGTCAGTGCTGAAGGAAAATGGATATGGTATCTCCAGTGATCTGACCACACGCCAACGTAAACAACTTCACGATCTGAAAGAAACTGGCCAGTTTGGTTACTTCAAGAACGGTGAACTTGTAGTGGTACCGAGTGAACGTCGCGCACACTCAGTCTCAGCCCCATATGAGGATTACACAAAGTAGGCGTCAGCCACGTACTGATCGTGGCGACGACCGTCAACCACTTGTAAGTACTGTATCTGAATAGGACGGCGGCCAAGGCCCGGACTTTATATCACAGGGTCCTCTTAGCACTGACACCGGTGATAATCGTCTTTCGCCTACTCGGATTGAAACTGACAGTGAAAAAAAAGCGTTTTTGTGCTGGAACATAAATGGGTTGACTGAAAAAATTGATGATATCAGTTTTATCGATTATCTTCGTAAATTTCACATCATATGTTTGATTGAGACTTTTGTAACCGATATCTCTTACAGTTGGTTGGGTGGCTATGACATGTTTTATAGCCCTGCTATCAAATTGTCAGATCACGGTAGACTCTCAGGAGGTGTTTGTGTTTGCATCCACCATTTGCTTAGGAACAATTATAGACAATTAACATCTGATATTGATAATTTCATTTGTATCAAATTCTTAAAGGAATTGTTTTCACTTGACAAAGATATGAATTTGATGTGTACTTATATTCCTCCTATTGGTTCAGCGTACTATAAGTATATGAATCACAAATGTAATATTGAACAACTGGAGCAATATCTGCTAGCGAATCTCCATGACTTTGCTGAATGTCACACTGTTATCTGTGGTGATCTGAATGCCCGTACAGGTAAACAGAACAATGTGTCTCCTAGTCTTGATGATGATAATAGGAATCATATATTCCAAGCGAGAGCTGATGATGACAACTATCCTATTGATGATCGTAATTCTCACGACACTGTTTTTAATAATTTTGGTA